CTATATGAATGTGGCATTCAAAGCATCACAATCTTAGCTCACTTGGCCACAAGCATAAGGGCTCACTTGGCCACAAGCATAAGATCCACCTAAAGTGATGTGAGGTCCACATTACCATCAACCATCATGGTCAACATAGACCCACACGTGCAAGAGGTAACTACTTTGATATCAACTAAAACACCCTAAGCTGAAGCCCACCATTAGCTTGACATCTTTTCAGGCCAAGGTCAATAAACCCCCAAAAGCTTAAGCTCAAGTTATTGACATTGATTGGTTTCCCCACTTGTATACGATAAAAGTTCAAGGGATGAAAAAAATGTACCCAAGGGCCGAGGGCATGGTTATTGCCATGCAACATTTTGTTAAGGCCACATAAAAAGCACAATAATTGTATTTGTTTTAATTGATTTTATTACTTTATAGTTTCATAGTTTGTTATGATATTTGGTTAGCCTTAACAAAAGGCCCTATGACAATAACCAATCCCATTAGTGTCATCCCTATAAAATCATTTATAAAAAGATGAAATTTTTGTTTTGACTAAGATATGGTGTCCTTAAGGAATCACAAATATCAATTCTAATTTTTGAATTGCTCTCAATAACTTATTCATAAGTCATGGCAATCTTTGCCTCTTGCCTAATTGACAACTTCGCACATATTGTCAATGGCATGCAATTCTCACAAATCTCAAACAAACTCATGTGATATATATATATATATTTTAGGAATTTGAAATTAAAATAATTGTATACTTTTTGCGACAAACCAATATCACTTAGAAGTGTGAAGACATTGCTATACAGTATCATAAACTAAAGAAAAATTATTCTCTACCATTTTTACCTTAACTAGGTCAACACTAGTAGAGTCATAAATGTAACATGAGTCATGCACAAATGATAGAATGTATCCTCTCATCACCTGTCTAACAAAAGGTAAACTTTGGCTCAAATTAGGAATAAATAAGACATGAAATTAGCTCTATACTTGTTTTGTTTAAATGGCATCTATGCATATTCCTTGTCATCTAACCATTATACCATTTCCTAACTTAACATTAGATTAATAAAGAATCTTTTATCTTGAACCATGTGTCTAATACACCCATTATCAACAAACCAAGTACCATATGAAAAAGTTGACGTACCTTGAGAAACCCTGAACAGGTGATCCTCTTTACGTTGATCTTCAACATAATTAGCTTGTTGTTGTTGCTTCAATCTATATTGAGTTTGTTGATTTTATGATTGATGTTGTCACTATTGCTTAGCCTTATAATTCTTTTCTTTGCGACCATATTTTGGCAAAATCTACATTGAATAGAAGATTTGCTCTTGAACCAACAATCTCTTTCTTCTTGATTTGTTTTTCTACAATGATAGCATGGAGGGAACCCCCTTTTTAATTTATTGTTGTTGATATGTTTGGTTAGAAACCATATTTGGTTTGTTTTTAAAACTTATGGCTAATTATTTGCCTTTCTACCTTGTAAGGAAGACTCTTTTTACAACCTCATCAATTTTCATAGCAAGCTTTTGTTCGTAAGCTTTGCTTCACTCAATAATAGTTAGCTCTTTGATGTCAGGAGATTCTTTTATGGCAAAGATCTTGGACTTAAATTTATTTGTATTAACTTAAATACTTCAAGTAAGGGTAAATTAGAGTCTTTAAATTTTGCCTCTTTTAGAAACCACCAAATGACAAATAAGGTTTCTAATTTTAAATTTGAGGAACATGAGAAATCAATTGATAAGAACTTCTTACTACTTCAATTATAAACTAACAAATTTAGATTGACAAGCTCTTTTATATATGATGTTAAGCCTCAAACCAATTTTCCTAAAATTGATTGAGCTCTTTAATAGGCTAAAATTTTGCTGATCAACATCTCTCTTCCATGATTATGGCTAAAATTGGTGGGAATTTCTTTATCCTCAATCTGATTTGGCTTGGTGAGAAGGAATAGTGATGGTTTTTCTAATTCTGCCTTATTAGAAAATACTCCTAGAATTTGTCCAAATGAGATTTTATGGATTTGGTTGAGGTTATATATATATACATATATATATATCAATAAACAAATAAAAAATAAAATTAGAAACAATATTGGATCCAATTAGACTTGGTAAATAGGTTAGATCAAGTAGGATTGAATTGAGTCACCTCAAATTTCGAGTTTATTGGGTGAGTGATTTCAAATTTTGGATTAAACGAGATAGACCCATGACCCACCCATAGACCTACCCATAAGGGATTGGGTCGAATGAATTCAACTTTTCAAAAAATTAAAATTAAAAGTAAAATTTTTCAATATTCTTCTCTATTTTTAAAAAAATAATATTAATTAATTATTCAATAAAAAATATATTCAGTAAAAATAATCTAATAAGTAATAATCATTTTGTAATATTTAATTTTATTTTATACTTAAAAATTAAAATTAAAAGTATAAAAATTAAAATTAAAAGTACAATTAATTAAAATTTTAATTTTAAAAAATAATTAATTTTAGTTTATGGTACTTTAGGTTGATCCAACCTGACCCGACTGTGACCCAATTTAGTTGGGTCTAAGTAATTTTGATTTAGATCATATTAAATTTCATATTAAAACCTTAAACTCATGACCTACTTGTAATATACAGGATGGGTCAAATCGTCTATCAAATGCAATTTTGCTAGGTCTAGATCCAATAACCACCTCAAATAGCTATTAAGAGTGTTAATAACTGTTAGCTCATTTCTAATAGCTCACAAAATTTGGCCCTAAAGCACTTAAATCATCTAAACCCCAAAAAAGTAATTAATTAATTAATTAAATTAAATTATCATCAATTGCCAAACAAAGAGAGTAATATTTTTCAAAGAAAATGTTTATCAACATTACTCGCAAAAAAATTGGGTAGAAAAATACACTAAACAACATCATTTAATAAATTCCTATAAAAGAACTAAAACGTTTTAGTTTTGTTTTAGTTTTTTCTCATGACCCTTCATTAAACAACATAATTTTAAATGTTTTTCTACATAATTTTTGTAAATTCAATTAATAAGCATTAATATATAAGATTAGTGTATATCAATCTCAACTCCCAAAAACAATTGAAATCATAACTTACATCTCAAAACTGAAATCTCATCTTACTAAACATTGATATATAAATTTGAAAACCAATTATATATTTTAATATATCAATATTTAATAAAATAATTTTTTAAATTTTAAATTGAATTTTAATTAAATAAAATGGCATTGTTTAAGATTGGGACTACGGTCATTTTTTAGAGTAAGGACTAATATGCATTTTTTCTTTTATATATATATGCACACATTAGAGTATAAGACAATGCAAGTATATATAATACAAATTCAAACTATATAACTGCAGTATACAAAATAGGAAAAACATTAAATAAACTCCACACACGGAAGTTCAAGTTTGGTTAGCCTTAGCTTTTAAATCCTCAAACAATTAGGATGTGTTTGGTTAGGAAGGCATGGAGAATTTTTTAACTAATTAAATTATATTATTTATTATATTGTTTATAAATATTATATTTTGTTATTTTAAATTAATTATTTTTTCCTTTAAATTAAAGATTTAAGATATTTATCTATATTATCTTTTAAAAAATAAAACATAAAGAAAGAGTTTTTGTGATTTTAAGATTAATTAAAATAAATAGACACTTACAGGATTTCAGTAAGAAAAAAATTTCTAACTTAAAACATAGTAAAATAACAATTAATTTAGAACAAATTTTATTTTAAGTGAAATTTAAAATAAAAAAATAATTATTATTTTAAGATAAATATAGTAATTTAATAAATTAAAAAACCATCCTCCTGTTCTTTGCCCTTTATTTGCATCCAACCAAATATACTCTTAATCCGAGGCCTCATAAAGATAATATATATATTTTTTTTAATAATTGTGCAAAGGACCGGATTCGAACATTTATCTAAAAGAATGGGATGCACTAAAACTAACTTGACACCACTGAGTACAAAAACCCAAATACCTCGTAAAGATAACAATTAAGTCTTGTTCTATAAAAAAATTTATTAATTGCATCTCTTACTACTTTTTTGTTTTTTTAAGATGAATCAATTGCATGTCGTAAGTAGTAGGTCTCGTGCGGACAGCAACATATAAATGGTGAGTTGGGTTTTTTCTTCTTTTTTTTTTTATGTCACCTAGCACTCTGCTCCATCCATTGACTATTCGTTGTTTAATTTTGAATTTATTTTAAATTAATTATTATTGTTTTATTTTTAAAAATAAATAAATTTTTTTTCTTATTTTAACTTGATTATTACCTATTTATTTTGATTAGTTATCTTATCACAAAAAATCTCATTTTATCTTTTAACTTTTTATTAAGAATAATATAGATAAATACATGAATTATCCTCAAATTCTTAATTTTTAAAAAAATCAAATAACTACAATTATTTTAAGACAAAAGACAATTACTTTTTAATAGAATGAGTAATATTAAAAACATATATAAGCTGAAGTTGTTATATAAAGACAAAAAAATGGAGGAAAATAAAAGACTTGGGTCAAGGTTTTTTTTATCATCAAGGACACTGCTTTGTTGGTACCAACCGGAAACAACTAGCATAGAGCAGGGTCAATCATCAGTTTTATCTTTTGCACTTCAAAAACGCATGTATTCAGTTGGATTGATTAAGAAAATGCAGGTTGCCAAGGAGATTCAGGAAATGAACATTCCAATTTTTTTTTCTTCTTGTTGGCATTTAGTTTCATTGAGAACCAGCATGCAGACCTTGTACCAGAATGAATTTACATGAAAATGATTGTGCAACCATAAATACATTAAAAACACACCAACAGGGCAACAGTTTGTTATTGACAGGTCTACTACTTGGTCACCAAATCATGTATTCTGACTTGCCTTTTTGTGTAAAGGTAGAAATTTAGACTTCAGAAGAATTTGAAAAGAAGAAATGTAAGAAGTAAGCCATTAGTCCGCAACAATTTCAGCAGGCAGAGCAAAATGGTAGTTCCAAACAAAATTAGAGAAGACAGATTGTCAATCTCATTTCTAGTACAAAAGAATGTAACAAAATGAAGACTAATGTTAAACTATTAACTGAACCTTAGATTTCCGTCTGGATTCTTCTGGTAAGCATGATAACAGGTTAAAGCAGTAGATAATATAAGACCTACATTTTGATGTTTCATTGTCTGATATCTCAGTTAATGCTATCCCCAAATTAGGCGTTACGCTTACCTTTTCCCTGCCACAGGAAGAAAAAAATAGCCTAAGATTTCTTGCATGGTTGTGTATGTTATAAAATGAAAATGGGAAGATCTGTAACTGTAACTTCTGCATTGGATAACAAAATAACATGGAAGCAAATATTTTACTGAGCAAGACACCATACACGCATGCTTTTATCATCAGAATGGTACGACCAAAAGCATGTAAAAATTGTGACTATATATAATTCTCAAAAGGCAAGTTAAATTCTAGGATGCAAGACAAACAAAAAAACAATTGTAAAAGCTAAAAATTCCTTTGTTACTTCCCAAAGCACCTCATAACAGCCAAAACACTCAATTGAATGCAAGCGTTAATGGGTCTGGACTTGAAAGTTCGTAGATTGAGGGACTCTATACAATTGTAAAAAAGATAACAAAATGCCACAACTTGGGGGGTCAAAGCCTGAAATGAAATCTAATTACACAGTAAAAAGGGGAATCATCAACGTATGTAGGTTTTCATAAATACCTTTGGTAATTTCACACCCACTTCTTCTGCAAGAGGAGAGTCCTGAATCAAGAAGTTCATCACTTGGGGAGAAATCTTGAAACTCTTGTGTTTCTTCGCTACTATCAAGGACTCCAGACTTTTAAAGGGGGAAGGCTGATCTTTGATATATCTATAATACTTTGAGAGAAGCTTCAAACATGGAAATAAACATTTTAGTAAGAAAAGTCAAAATAAATTGGTAGCATTCAAGAATGTTGGTTAAATGGCATAGGATGCGATATCAACTTCTTCTTGTCATATTTGCTAAGCAACTTCTTCCCATACTTACCTTGAATATGTTTGGTGATACAATGAGTGACCTTGCATTACCAGCTCCCTTAAAATACCAATCAAAGCCCGAATATTTTCCAGATTTTTCTTGTATAGCCGGGACAAGCTAACATTCAACTTGTCAAGAAAGGGAGAATTATCCACAGACAACACAAATGGCTGCTTAATTGATAAGTGGAAGGAGGTCAGTTTTGGTGCGCTAACTATAACCTTCTCGCTTTCATGAAATCAAACATTCAACATTGTCAAATTGACTAGCTGAGGCGCAGATATGTTGAACACATTTGACACATATATGCCAACATTCTCCAAGACAAGATGCTGCAGATTAATGCAGCTTGGGAAGAGATCAACATATTGAGAGTTTGGCAATCTACCAAAATCAGAAAAATTTTTAAGTTGGAGAATCTTCAAAGATCGGCAACTGAAAATTCGAGCAGGCAATACATGGAAAGCACCATATCCAGAGGGAGAAAATGATAAATCAAGCTCTTGAAGATTGTCAGAAACAGCAAAGTTAACAATTTTGTCAATGAGGGACTGTCCTAGGTCTGCTCCATTGGCGTCATTACAGAGGCGGAATGCAATAACTTGAGAGGTGTTGCAATGATCCAGGACATTAGCTATGAATTGCTTAAAGGCACGGAATCCCACGACGGAGTGGAATGATGATAGCAGAAATTGAAAACAGTGAGATCAGACCATAAATTAACCCATCTCTTGGACAGAACACAGGTTTGGACGGCGTATTTTGTGTCTAAGAAGGAAAGGATGTGCTGAATCAAATCATCCGGTAAGTCACTTAACCTATCGAGTTGGGTATTCTTATGCTCTTTCATCTTCTTCGCCTTATCCGTCCTCATTCTTGAACCCAATCTCGTTCAAGAAATACCTCAAACACCTACAAGACACCAAGAGTCCTTGTTCATTAGCCCGTAAATAGGCGAAATTAAGACATGCCTGGAAGGAAAGAAGTCAAGACGGCTAAAGAAAAACCAAAACAAATACAAGGGAAGGTAGCACAAGCAATTAACCAAAGGAATGCACGCGCACTACTTGTTCTTGATTTCACTTTGGGATGGTCAAGCACAGTTGCGTAGCCAGAAGAATTGTTTTGGAGGGGCAAAATGATATCCTAATGTGTTTATGCTTAAATCAAAAAGTGGATGAAAGTAAAAACTTTTTCATAAAGAAATATTTGAAATAAAATTTATTAATCTTTAACTATAAACTAACAATAATTAATGATTTATTACAAATCTCATCAACTAAAACACAAAAATGAACATATATTGATTTTTTTTTTTTTTTTTTTTTTTTGTTTAAACGGTTAGGTTTCTCATGCTAGTAAAGATCCTCTTTCAGGGACCAGCGTCCAGCAGAGCAAGAAAAGTTTCCCACAAAATCTTTTGGGAAGAAATACTTCTCATCCCCGCCCTGTGTCAGAGATCTCCCCAAGCCCCTCAAAGATGAGGGAAATTACCATCTCTACCCAAACGGTATTTTTTTGGTTTTTTAAAAATAAAAATATATATTTTATAATTTATATTATATTAAATTATAAAATATTAATTCTTAAATTATGAAAGGCCCTCGATAATATAGGAAATGATTGGTGTTTTAGAGTGCGTGCATTTCACCAGATGCTTTTGGAAATATAATGAAGTGTGTTGCATCTGTGCATTTTTGGGCCTCCTAACAGCTCGCTCAAAGAAACCATTAAAGGGGATAAAGTATTGATGTCAGCTTTGAGGCCCATTCCTTTCTTAAAAAGCAAACAAAGCTCTATGTAGCGAATGACCCAAGTGACCTTGGAGAAGAAAAAGATGTTGTGTTCTTCGACTCACATCTCGCAAGCCATGCATG